AAAAAAAAAAAAAAATTAAACTCAGACATTTAATTGCGACGTGGTTAGATCTCGCGACAGCAAACGTCGAGTTTCAGGTGAGAATTCCTGAATCGAAAAACGCCGTAAATTTCGGATCGGCGATGAGAGGCTGTCTGGCTCGGTCTGTTCTTGCGGACGTATTTCGTTCTTTTCTCAGATCGGCGAGCAAATGTTGACCCAGTTTCGGCTTTGGATTGGACGCTACTCGCTCTCTGCGAAAATGCTGACTGGAATACGCGATGAGCGAGAAGTTAGGACGGGTTGTTACGCCGTCTTTCTCCCACCGGGCAACCCATCAACCAGCCGAAATTTATGCTGGAAATACAATTCCCTTATCCCGAATGCTTCGCCTGGAAACTTCGTTTTTTTATTTTTTTCTTGTTTTTTTTTTTTTTTCCTAACGCTTTCCTACGATTTTATACGTGAAATAAAGTGAGGAGAGAGGACAGGGGCGTTGAGAGTCTACCTGTTGGCGAGCCTTCGATCTCTCGAACACGAGACGGGTCTTTTCGTCTCGTGTGTTTATATACCGAATGATCACGATTATATTTTGGAAAGGGGAAACCACCGTTAGTTTGATCTACTTTTAATTTTGCGACGGTAGGGTATAGAAATTGTTCAAATTTACTACGTTTGGGTATAAATACACGTTCACGTCACGACTTTTAATTAATTTAACTTATTTAATTGCATTTTTTAATTACACGCTATGATTTTATATTGCTGTTTTTTCAATATAAATATTTAATTATTTAAATATAAATATTTGTGTTTATAAATATTTATGTAGTAAATAATCACTCTATTCTCTAGTCATTGGGATGGGAAGCAATTTTTACGCAAATTAGCTTTCGATTTTGGCGTCGTTCAAAACTGAAAGGCGCAAGTGAAATAATTTTGTCGCGATGAAAACAGAATTTTCAATTACCAAATGAACATAATTATATATTTAAAAACATATACATATATGCCACGCGCTCATGATTTCCTCTTGGAAATCTTTATTCATTTCATTACGATTGTTTTCAGTTATAAATATTCGATTTTTATTTATTTTCTTGCGTAGACAGTCTTTTGATGTTTGAAAACATGAGTGCAGAATTGGACCAAACGACGGGCAGAGTGATTTCATCGCTCTCTTCTGTAAAGAAAACGTTCAAATTGCAATTTCTGATTATTAACGGGAAAATACGCATATCAAAATGTGTATCTCGCTCTCGCGCGACACGCGACGGACCAAACGCTTTTTAATTCGCAATATAGAGCAAGATTGAAATACGAGCAAATCGATGCGAGTAATCTCCGGCTGAAACCAATCTAATCTAATAGGATAGTGCAAAACCGCACCGAAACCTCGATATCTCCGTTTCTACCTGCGCTACGTGTGAAACACAATTAAAATCAAACAACTGGATTACCGTTTCCAACGGTGTTCTTACAAAGATTGCCTACGTTCTCGTGAAAAATTTACTTACACGAAATTATTCAATGTATATATCGTGTGTTTGTTAAACGTTCAAAATTTTTCAAAATTGTCACGATTTAAGTTTGAAACAAATAACATCAACAGACGAAAGTATTCGAAACGTATTTGTTATGTAAAACATTTAAATTTGAGACGAATAACATTGATAAAAAAATAATTTAATAACGTCAATACAAGTGTACATACATCTCGCGAAGATTGTAAAGATATTATAATATTCAATATTGATGCAAATATTCATCTAATATATTAATTTAAGAACGTTAATTCAAGCATATATATCACGAAGATTATAAAAAATTTTTAATATCTTCAGGGTTATATCTACTCTTATTATACAGATTATGTTAATAAATCTGGAATCATCTGTAATACATGTAACGATTCTTATTGATCGTAAAACCATTCACAATGAATAATAATTTTCTTACGATAATAAATAATCTGTGATTTCCATATGCTCTTTCCAAATTTCTTCGAAACTTTAATACAGTCGTGTTGAAATTAGAACTAAAGTGGATTAAAAAATTGTTCGCGCCTCGTATAAAATCGAAGCGAGCTGTTCCTTTCGTCCTCGAGATCTGCCAAACACGTTCGAATCGCGAAGGAGATCGAAAGGCTAGGAGATCTACGGAGAGCGCGAAATAGACGAAAGCCAGCGACCATCGGGCACAGTCGTAAAGAAAAACGGGAGCACGGCTTATACGATTCCCAGGGTGTTTGACGGGAAATAAAAGGAGCCGCGTTGGCAATGTATGAGCGAACGTCGCAACGAGCGAAATCCATTTGACGATTGGAAGCTTTCGCGCACTTTTGATTCGTTTCGTCCCTTGAAACGATGAACCATAATGGAGAGTGCACCATTTTCGTCGAACTTCAGCCTGTGTTCAAGTCGCGCGTCCAAGGATCTTGCCGGAGCGCTACACCATTGTGCAAGAACAAAACTCGATTTAAAAAAAAAAAGTCCCGTTTAAGGCTGCACCCTCAAAGAGTGTTTCTTTCGTACGATTTCGATCGAAAAAGTGCGAAAACAGAAGGGACAGGGACAATTTTTTTGTTGTTCGCGAACTTGGAGCAACACAGT